CCTTCAATTGTGCCAATCCATGTAAAAATGCTCTCTCCTTCAGGAAATGCTGACACTCCAAGATCTCCTCCACTCATCTGCATAAGAAGACAATCGAGTATTAACTGAAATTGTAGTTCTAATGGAAATGATAACAAAGGCTTTTCCTACATAGGCAAAGTATTGTGTAGTGTGTACAGTTACTAAGTCATCTTAAGCACCCAAAGTATTTAACAAACATGGTCCCAACTCGCAACAATCAATTTCAATAATCCTTTTTAAGGATGCCATAAAAATATTTGGAATAAGGAGGCACTCTTCTCTCACATTATGAGTTATAACCATGAGCTGCACCTTGACTTGAACTCAAGATGATCCTATTCTATCCACAAATATTGAGCTAAATATTCATTCATGAACTACCAATCACACTGCTTAGAAATGAAAGTACAATTGATGTTTCACATCTGAGACAGATGACAGAATCACATACCATAAGAGACATGAGTTCTTTCTGAAGCCTGCAAAAAGGTTAAAACATAAATGTGAAAGATCGGACGCAATAAACCATAGCATTAATCATACAGAAATAATATGAATGAAATTTTTAAGAAGAAGGATTTTCACATTGGGCTCTCAATAAAATGCTCAAATTCTGGAAATAATGTAGCAACACAGATTCTTGTTTTTCTTATCCTTTCCATAATCCTATTGGCAACCAAATGCATAAAAAGTGCACAAAATTAAGAAGGGAATTTAAGGGAGGGAAACCAAGAACTAAAACGTAAGAATCACAAGCAAACTACAAGTCAATTAAAGTACAAAGCACTATTTCAATTGGTCAACAGCCGTAATCTGCCGTGATTACTGTCTTCCTTAAATTTAATTTTCCCGGGAACCAAACAAACAGCTCAAGAGAAGAAGAAAAGATTAATTAGAATATCGTCAATTAAACTACAAAGCACTATTTCAATTGGCCAACGGCCCTAATCTGCCGTGATTCTTGTCTTCCTTAAATTTAATTTTTCCGGGAACCAAACAAACAGTTCTAGAGAAGAAGAAAAGATTAATTAGAATTTCATTCTCCAATTTTTTTCCATTTCTTTTGCGGAGTTTACTCAAAGATCAAAGAACAAAATTCAAGAGTAGAAGAAAAGATTTCCTTTCCTTTTTCCGATTTCTCGAGAGCCAGAAAGAAAAGTCAAGAAACAACCATTAAGCCAGATAGACGAATACCCCCACGCCCCCAAAAAAAAGAAAAAAAGAAGGGGCTTCCTTTTCTACGAAACAAAAGATAATACAGAACTTCACCTCTGAGTGACGGAAGTGGTGTCGACGGGGTTAGGAGCAGAAACGGGCTGTTTGGACGCAGCGGCGGTAGCGCGGCGCTGCTGCTGCTGCTGCTGCGGCGGGATCGACGAATTGTCGACTGTCGGATTGGGCCGGACCTCCATCAAAGTTGAAACGATATCGAAAACTTAGGATGATCCGGAATCAATCAATCAATCAAATCAGCTAAAGTTGATAATTAATTGATGAATTCAGTGAGGCTTAGAGATGTTTTTCCTTCTTTTTTCTATTATTTTCCGAATGAATTGAAATGCAGCCACGACGACCTGACCTTGCCTTAATTTGAGTGAAAACTGGACAAAGTGGCATGGTGCATGAATATTGAGAAAAAAAATATTTTTTTTCTTCACTTTTAATTATTCCAATTGCTTATGCTCTGCAAATAAAAAGTAAAACTCTAGTTTTAACTATATTTCAGCAACTTATAACACAACTTTTACCATAAAAGAAAAAAAGAAAAAAAAAAAAAACTTATAACACAATATTTGAACTTTTGATCCAATTACTCTAGTCTTACATATTTCTTTAAATTGCTTGATTTACAACTATCAAATAAATCTAAGTAATTTGCGTTTCAAAAAAAAAAATAAATCTAAGTAATTAATAGAACCTGATCCATAGGGGCTGAGAGACATCCGCTACTCTCTTGTAAATGTTCACATTTTCCTCTCTTTTTATCAACGGTTTAACTAATGTCATGATAATTGTTTAAAAAAAAATCTAATTAATAATTTAAATAAAAAATTTTGATTTTTTAAAAATAAAATTTTAAATTTAAAAAACAACGCTGACTGACGTAAATATCAAATCCCAAGATTAATACTAAAAAGTACTGAATAAATCTTGTCCACCCAAAGATGAGGCAAAATAGAAGAGGATTGAAATTATGTTTCCAATGTACTTCACATTACTTTTTTAGCATGGTTGATTACATTATTTCACTTCTACTATTTTCAACTGTATTAATTAAAAACATAGTGTTGTTCAACCAAAGCAATTTCCATTTTAGTTTTGAGTTATTATTCCTCTTGAAGTTTGAAACTGAATTTTTGTTCTTGAAAATTAAGAGGTCTATATGCACTACCATGCCATCCATTGAGCTATGGTGAAGAGCTCAGAGCAGATCCCACATCACTGACAAAGGGAAGAGTAAAAGGCTTTAAAATACAGTGACAACCTATCTTGTTCGCCGGGCCTGGTAACGCAAGCCTGTGACTCAAGTGAGGGCAGTGGGTGATGAGACATGATCTCAACTCGTTGAGTTGGGCCTGTCGTGGCTATCTTCTGGCCTGCCCGTTCCAAGCCTGGAGTTGGGTCATGTGACTTCAGCGAAGGCTGTGGGTTACGTGGCCTTTGGAGTGGAGGGCACAGCGTGAGGCTGGCTTCACAGAGCAGCGAAGACCTCCCGCTCTCGGCAGTGGAAGGATAACAGGCCGGTGCCATTCAGGCCCATAACGGCTCTGTGGGTTGAGAATCAATGAATCATCACTTTTTCTGAGTCCATTTTTTTCAGCTGAGGAATATATTCCTTTGTTCATACTTGTTGATTCATTGAGAACGTGTACCATACAAGTACTAGTTAAATCTTATTTTTTAGTGGTATAAATTACTTGAAAAGAAAAAAGCATATGATGTTTCTCCAACTTGGTATGCATACTTGGATTGAACCCACTTATTGTATATAAAAATTAAAAAAAAATAAAAATAAAAAGCTGTATAAAGTAAAAGAAGAAAGATACTTGAGTGTGGTATGATTTTCAAAGATATAAAATAAAACCATTCTTTGTACAAGAAAAAGGAAGTCCGTAGAAAGAAGAGAAATGCCCTGAAAAATCTTCCATTGGCCCCATCGTAAGTACTGTAAAAACAACTCAATTGTCCCATCCCATTCTTCTTTAAAGTACCAACAACAAATTGACTCAGAAATTTGAAGGCAAGATAAAGCTTCCCCTAGTAAAGCCGTTCTCTTTGGTCATGATACCATCTCCACCTGCAAAAGATAATAAAACCCCAATAGCATCTCTTAGCAATAGAGGACAGGATCTTCTGGGTTGATACTTTAGATTGAGAAAAAAAAAAAAAAAAAACACTGCTTATTGCCGAATCACATCCGAATTTATTCACAAAACCTAAAATTGGATCTAAGAAAGTCACCAGGGGTAGTCCCATCTAGGGCGGATTTTGATCATCCGGTTACGATCATAAGGGTAATCCGTTTCAGCTCTTTGGGCATTTCGGAAGGCACAGCAGCCAATTGAGTAGACACAAATGAGCAACAAAAGTATGACGATGTTAAGAACTGAGAGCTTGTGCCAGTCTCTCCTCACAGATTCAAGAACGCCGGCTTTGCACGAATCGCACTCGTAGCAAAGCAGCATCGGAGAATTGTTCCACTGGTAACAATCAGGGTCTTGAACATTAGTCGTTACCATGTTGTAAACACATGAAGTTGGTGGCTTACAACAACCGGACTGCAAAAAAGTATTTACAACAAGAGCTATAAAAGTGCTATATGAAATAAACAGTTTTTTAGAAGTTAGCAAGTCTCAACTCAACTAAACTGTTTGGTTACCTGAATGGGAGACATATCCTTCTGCATGTAATCAATGGGCGTCCAGTTGCCAACAGCGGCACAGGTCTTGGAGTTCAATATGCAGGCTCTGATGGTGTTCCAGTACTCGGGATCTTCAATCCTTTTCCTCAGCCATGGAGAATAGTCCTCCAGCTTATACTCCTTGTAAAGCCTGCCGTCGATGACTCTTCCTCCGCCCTGGCTGGTGACCACAAACCCGAAGATGGTGAAAGCCATCAGGGCTCCGATGACGACCAGCATGACCAGCAAGTAGATCCATAGTGCCCAGACCACATGGAAACAGGCTCCAATGAACCCTGCCAAGGAGATCACCAGGATCACAAATCCCAACACAAGGAGTGGGGTTTGCAGGAAACTTTCACAGGTGGTGCTGCTCCTCGCCATCCATAACCCTGCTCCGATGATCGGAATCGATGCCAAGAGGGTGAAAAGGTTCAAGAAACCAATAACAGTGTTGCTTAACCTATACATGATGGGAGTATTTTGGCTCTGTTTTGCACTAGCACTGGTCTAGAGTTAAAGGATGGAGATGCAGGATGCTGGCCTTCACTCCTTTTTGGGTTTGCTTCTTTTCTTGTTATAAGGTGTGTCCGGTTTTGCTTTTTCTTTTAATATGTAGCTAAGGTGTGTCGTGTTCTGTTTTTTCTTTTATTCTATAGCACTGCTTTTCCAACTTTTTATTTTTAATTTTTCGGTACCTAAAAGCTTTAAGAATTCGAACGGCTCACTCGACCCCAGTGTCATCGGATTTGGATTAAGGCTGTTCATCTTTTGTAAGTTGTATGTTCAAGCTTCATAAAACGTCTTTTTTTCTTCGCTCAATTAATTATGTAAATAATTACAAATTTTCTTAATTAATCATGTAAATAATTATAAATTGTTAAAAAAAAAAAAAGCTTTAAGAATTCAAAATGTCTATACCCCTTGTTTTACCTGCATTAGGATATTAATCTTAGATTTTTATCTGAGGTTTGCAGAATGACCAATGTATACTTCTTAATCATAAGGAAAACTTTATTCCCACTTTATACTGTCTAGAATCACCACCCTCATACAATCCAAACTCAAATATGGTATGAATTATTGAAAACAAGGATGACAATATCCAGGAGAGCTAGAGAGGTTGCTTCAATCACCAAACAGGGGATGATGAAAGAGGGCATTTTGACAGGGGCATAAATTCTAAAATGCAATGCTGAAGACCCAAGGCAAGGAAAGAATATGGTAGGGACCGCAGGCAATTTGTTAATTGGAATGAATCTGCCCTCAGGGGGTAGATGGACCCATTTGTACTTCCTTACAAACCATGATCAGAAGTCAGAACCATCATTGGATAATATATGGGTGGGAAATAGAATATAAATGAATGCTTCTCCTTATCTTCCCAAATTCATTTATCTACTATATTGATTCTCTTTATGGCTCCACTGGAAATGAAACATTAATAATTTCTTAATAGAAAAGGACTCCCTCAATAATTGCAGATTCAAACACTACTATGAATGCAAAGAAGTTGATCACTTGAGTGAAAAGAAACTCCTTTTTCCGCATTCCTTTTCCTCATTCTTCATTATAGGTAGATAAAGCTTCGCATTTGAACTTAGAAAGAACAAAGAAGACGACAAGAAGAGGGTGCAAACAATTTCACTTTTATTTGATGAATACAGTACAATATAACAAATGCAAGTACTGCTGACGAAACGAATGACTGTAATCTCCCAGAAATTGAAAATTTTCTTCCCAGCCCACTTTTGGTTTCTATTGCTAACTATATGAAAATTCTGTATTGATTAATAAAAGAAAGTCTACCCAACAGGGGCTGGCATGGGTAAGTTTCTCAAAAAGTACCTAAACAATACCATGGCACGTTGAGGCTGAGTGAAAGGAACCTCATGCCCTGCCCCCCTCACCGTCACATAGGTGAGACCCTTGTATATTTGGCTCCAACCACCAACCTGGTTAACCCAGATGCACTTCATTAGTAAACTTAATTACCCACTGTGAGAGCAGCAGAGTATACAATGTTTTATTGTATACATGAATTTTGGGATAGGAGCAATAACTGGCTTACCTCTCCTTGATCATCCACCCAAGCATACCAATCTCCAGAAGTCTTGAGTTCAAGTGCATTAATTGAATACCGGGTTGCAGTTAAGGGCAAAATTGCATCCGTGTCACCACTGTTGTTACAGATCAACAATATTTCTAATTAGACTTAGTATTTTACTGTCTTTTAATTGAATTAAGAAGTTTTAGGATCATCTGCAAGAACCTACAGCGTTAGAAAATTTACCTAAATAGCCAGATCCTAATACCAGCTGCTATAAGTTCTTTGAAGATAGGAAGCATGGATTTTGGAGAATCAGACCAATTTCCCCTGGTAGCAGAACTGAAAAAAAAGGCAGAAATATTTCTTGTTAGCCTTCAATATGAAGTGCCTCCATTTCCCTACGGTGTCCAGATTGGCTGGCAAAAGAACAATGAAGATCAAACCTGCAAGCTGCCCAACGATAAGGAATTTTCCGAGTAACATTGGCATGAAGAGCCTTCTGTACTCTAGGGTTGTTCATGTACTTCTTGGTGTGCATTACGACGCATTCATCATTCCCTCTGAATGTCCATGGCTGCAGACAACAATCAAGCTAATTTGAACCAAATAATCTACAATTTTATGCTTCAAATCTGAAAGCAGTGAAGAATTAATAATAATAATAAAAAAAATAAAAAAAATAAAAGGAAAGAAAGAAAGAAAGAGTATTATGTCATAAGGTGTAATTAATTGCAGGGCATCTTGCACATGTTAATTTAATATTCTTGGCAGTGATCCACTCAAGAAGGCAGCAAAAGTGCAAGAACATTTACTTTTCTTGGAATTTGATGCAAAAGCCAATAAACTAACAATGGATAGGGATTACCAACGGTTGCCTCAAATTCTGCCTCAGAGTAGAAATCCCAGAGCAAGAATTGCCATAAATGTTGTAGTGATTGATGTCTCCGAATTCATTATAAGCCTGAGTCAGGGCAATGCAGCATTCACCTCGAGGGAACAAGAAAGATTGGTGTGGGCATGACTTCTTGAGTTGATTGTATGTAGAATCCGAAATCAAGCCATGGTTCCACCAGTACTCATATGTTCCAATGTTATCGTAATAATCATCTATAAGAGGATTGCCCAACTGCTCCAACATCATAAACAAAAACAAAAATGAAAACCCAAGATCAAAGTAACAATCTTTTTTCCAACACAAATTAGAAAGTAAAACAAGATTAAGGGCGTCCCATCCAACTAACCAAAAAACCTTTGAAATTGAGAATGGGATTCTGCACACCCTTGTTCCGGCGGACTATAATTCGAGATAATTCAGGAATGTAATGACCTGAAAATTTCTTGAAAGAGAGTAAACCGAAAATGCATGTTAAAATTGTTCATGTTCTTCTCCAATTCAAACAGAAACTAACCTGCGTAGCTTTCTCCGGCGATGTAGAACGGCCTGTGCATGTACTGAGGGAACCTCCCTAACCATTTCATCAGAAATGTGTAAGCTTCATCAGCTGCATGAGTTTCCACGTACAATAAAACATTATTAGTCAGGATTAGACTAACCAACAGTTTGACAACATGCCTGCATGAACACCACCGACTTTTCTGTAAGATATAAAACACACCTGTCCTCCTGTCGCCGACGGTGTACAAACCCGCCGACGTATTTGAGTACGAAAATCCAACCCCCGCCGGCGAATCGAGAAATAGCAAGTTTGCCTCTGCAAACATATAGTTCGTAAGTAGCCATGTTGAGGATTAACGAACGGCTGAGATTGAATATTCATAATTTCATAGTACCTTTATTCCAGGCGTGCGGATTCAAAGACAACGTTTTGCCGTCCGATCGAACCCGGAAGGGACCCACTTCCTCGGAGGCCCCATAAGCGATTGATGAACAGCCCGGCCCACCATTGAGCCACAATACTAATGGCTTTGAAGTGGGCCGGCTCCTTTCCGGGACCTGAATCAACCAGTAAAAGAGGGCTCGGCCTGCTCTTTTGTCCACAGTAACATAACCAGAGTACTGAGAGAAGTTCACTTTTGGTGGTTGCCCCGGGAGCTTGATGATCCTATCCTTCTCCTGCTGCGCCTTAACATTCCGACGGCCGCTGCCGGCCACGGTGGCTAAAAAGGCAGTGGAAAGCAAGAGTGCAGCAAAGAGGAAAGAGGGGTTAATGTGAGCACTCATCATTAGGAATTAAAAACAGCTTCCTTTGGAGGAAATGTTCACAAATCATAATGATGGAGTGGTTTAATATTAATGGGTTGTTTGTTAACTTTGACTGGAATCCCTAACTACTTTATGTTTTGCATTTTGTTTGTGTGTTTTGGGGTCAACATGAATTGGTTAAATGTGGGGGATTGTTTATAAGATTTTTCTAACATGTGTTTTTAAAATACAAAGTTAAATGTTTTTTTTTTTTTGTTATAATTACATATAAAAAATATAAAAATTGATGTTAATTTTAGTATAAATATCAAGTGAATTAATTTAATTAGATAATTAATAGATTAAAAGTTAATTTTTATTTTTTAATATAAATTTATAATAAAAAAATATACATTTATTATACTTTTAATATGTATTTTTAAAATAATGTTAGGAAAACCTTTTTCATACATGGATGGTTCCTTTTTCTTCAATTCATGGGATCACAATCCCAAAGTCTTGTAGGATCTTGACTTCTTCGTACTCAATGTTTAGTTGAGCAACGGCATGGAATGGAATTGCCTCCAAACAATTAATGCGCTGAATTTAGGTTGGAGTTTGGTTTACAAAACAATTCACCATTTCACTTCACTTTATTTCGAAATACTATATATGAATATGTATAAATCTTCTATAAATTCTTAATAATTGATTTTATAATTTAACAAGTAATACTTATTGTAATATTTTTTTATCTTGATTACATAATGAAAGGCAATCAATTTTTATTTTTTATTTCACCTCATCTGCATATTATGCGACTCGAACTCATGATCTCTTATTTTTAACGAAAAAAGATGATCACTAAATTATTTAGATCGTTAGTACTTACCGTAATATTATTAAGAAAATAGTTTCAGGGTACTTTTTTAATGGTAAATGATATTGAAAAATAAAAATTAATATTTATTTAATAAGTTATTTAATTAAAATGATTCATATGTCATTTGTTATAAATTATTATTAGTTTTGTATTTTTAATATTAATTAATATAAAAAACACATTAATTTTATTATTAACTTCTGTTCTTGAAATATATGTTAAAAAACTTTTATTATTAAATATACAAAATAATATGTTATAGTAAAAAACACTACTCAGACAGACCCACAATCGGGGAGATTATTAGTTCATAATCTCATGAGAATTCCACTAATAATATTAAGCTCATTAATCTTATACAATCTGAGTGTAGGGCAGACTACAGTAAATAGCGAAAGTGCAGAAGACTTTTATGTAAGAAAATAAATGAATTTCATACGGAAAGTTGGACGTGAGCTGGCTGTAGCGCAACTTGTTTGACTAATTAACGAACACACGAGTCATACCCTTGACAATTTGATATGGCGCCGTGCAGCGTTGCAGTGTGTAGAAAGAGCCGCCTCTAACTGGGTCAAGTGATTTCAAAATTCAGCGTCCAAATGAAGAGCCAGATCCAGCGTTGGATTTATGTAGTCGACATTTGTGATGTAAACTTGTAACGGTACTTCTACCAAAAAAAAGAAAACTTGTAACGGTACGGTATCTTTTTCTTTTTCTTTTTTTGTTTTTGGATATTAAAAGTGTGATTTGAATTTTACACTTATTAATTTTAATATGAGAAGAAAAATTAATAATTTAAATAATTTGATAATTTTTTTTTTTAAAAATAAAAAATTTTAAATTTAAATTACATAATATATAAATGAAATAAAAATTATTTTTTATTATGTAATTAAAATAATATATATATTTATGAAGTAGAAATGACAACAGAGAGATACAGTATCTTGGAAAAGAGGATATGGAAAAACAGCACATCTGCCCGATCTAACACCCCTGATTTTGGGTCATTTACATGAAATGATATTCATTAATTTATGGAAAAAGTGGATGAGGGAGAGGAGGTCCAGCGATCAGGAGGGAGAGCCTTCGCATGTGAAAACGATATTTTATAATTTAGTATAATTTAAATTATAAAGAGTAAATTTTTATTTTATATTTTATTAATCTGACTTATTAGTAATGTAAATGCATTTTAGCTAGTTAAATGATTTGGACTTTGGTGTTTTTACTTGACTTGGTCATTTGGAACATGAATGGTAGTATTACATGCATGTCACGAAATTTCATGAAATAATCCTTAAAAAGTCGAATCAGCTTTTCAGGTCCAATGGTTAGACTCTAAACTTTAATTGCTTAGGTGATGTGGTCGGAGTTTTGAACTCTATCATCATTGTGAATTCCACCAAAAACGATTTGATGGCCGCGCGTCTCATTTAAGAGGTGGAATATTCATCTGATTTGGAAATCGAATCTTCAATTATTAACAACTAATTCATACTAACTTTCTAAATATTACATTATTAGAAAAAAAAAAATCCTCAAAAAGTCGTGCTCTTAAAAAAGTCTTACAAGTCTTGTGGCTTCAAATGAGCTGTTGATTTTTGTGCTCTTAAAAATGTCTTACAAAGTCATGTGGCTTTAAATGAGCTGTTAGCTTACCAAAATCAGGAATTTGAAACGGTAAATCATCCATACTCCAATGTGAAGAATATTTAGAATGCATTATCATCTGTACTCCAATTTGAAACGGTAACTCGGCATTACCTTGTTCTCCAAAAATGATCTGAAAAGAATAAAAGCTTGACGTGGGCGATGGAGGGGGCCATAATGGCCAGCTCCAGTAACTGTTACAAATGTCAATCCTTTTTATACTTGACTCCACCCACCAACCTGTGTCACAAATAACAGAAATCTTCTATGATCACCATGTCAATTCCATGGGTTCGGTGATGATGATTTAGTAAAGATGAGACCAAAAGGACAGGAAACTATTCAAAATTTGCCTCTTAAAAACTCACTGACCTTTCCATTATCATACCAAGCGTACCAGTTGGCAATAGTAGGCAGCTTCAGGGCATTGATGGAGCGTCTAGTTGCAGTCAGAGGAACCATTGCATCGGTATCTCCACTGGAAAAACAGTTTAATCAGAAGCCATGTTCAATTCTAGCTAGTGCATATGTAACTACCTTAAAAAGAAGAAGGAAAGAGCTCAAGATGCCATAGATTGATGTTATGATATAATAAGTTCTTAAATAACATCCATTTTATCGACTTCTAGTGTGATAAGATAAAGTGCTCAAGTTTCTAATAACTAAACAAAATTTGTAGAGGTGCAGAATTTTAAAAACCAAAATAAGGAGCCTTAATTACCTAAATAGCCATATCCTAAAACCAGCAGCAATGAGTTCTTGATATATGGGAAGCATAGAAAGTGGAGCATCAAGCTAGAAGTGCGCGATATAAGCACTGTGAAATCAAGAAATTCACTAAAACAATGCCATTACAAAATTTGTAAGAACTAACTCACATATCTACAAACAAAAAAAATACCTGCATGGTTTCCAAGGATAAGGAATTCTTGTTACATTTGCATGAAGTGCCTTCTGAACTTGTGGAAGATTGAAGTACTCTTCGGAATACCTCACAGTGCATGGATCATAACCTCTTGACATCCATGGCTGCAATAAGTAGTAGACAATCACAAAAGGGAATCACTAAAAGGGGGAGGGAGGGACCCGACTGTACAATATGAAAAAGGAAAAAGGTCTGATTAAACAATGCCTACTGGCCACCAAGAGGACTTAATCCAGGAATAAAAACAATTTGACTACTTATTTCATCAATAACAATGAAAGCCTTAGGAATTTTGATTTACAAGAAGACCAATTATTGGGCTAGTGAACAGAATACTATATTAGGGAAAATCTAGTGTAAACAGCATGGGATACTCTAATGAGAGGGTAAAAGGCATTTTAAATTTGGATTAAAACGTATCTTTTAGAAGCAACTAAGCCTACTAATTCTATGACAAAACTAGGGAACCTAATCGGAAAGTCAAAGTTAGTTAAAAAGATGTTAAAACAAGAAGAAAATTTGAGTCAAAGCGCCTAATTAATTGCATAAAGCAGTATTGATGAATAAAATCTGTGTTGGTGCAACCACCGAAAGACCTTATACCTGTTACATCTACAAAATATCCAAGCATAATAGAAGGATGCAGGAGCTTCCTTATTCCTATATCTTTTTAAGTTTGAGAAGTCACAAGTTGCATTTTTCAAATGTGTTGGTTCTAAAGAATCTAAAACATTACCCTTCTGTCTTGTATGCAAATAATTCAACTAACATCAAGCTTTTAATGTGAATTACTACCAAATTAGCCTCAAAGCTTATGGAAAGGAAACATATGAATCTCTCATGTTCTTTTCCGAGACTGAACAATTCATATTGTATAAAGCTATCATCAGAATACTGGATATCAAAATTTAGACATTGTCACACAAGCCCAATTTATCCATCAAATCAGTTACCAATAGCCCAATTCAGAGCCACATCAGGGATGAAAGCTCCTCAAGGGAAGAGAAAAGTACAGGTAACAGAATGAGCAGACAGCACCATATCAGTGTCGTTTGCATACAATGAGGTTGCAGGACTATTTGATAGACAGACTGACAGAATAAAACTTCAAAATCAAGACCACTGGCAAACCCATTATCATTATGTTAATTTTGAAAGAACTGATTAGAACTTAGATAATGACCCCTCAAGTTGCGTCTTAGTTCTCCACTACCACTGCAAGGCTGTGTGAAGATGCTATATGTATCAATTATTCCTTGTTCCTCACTTGCTAACCCGAGAGCTGACCTGCATTCAGCAGATGGATGCATAGAGGATGCCATATCACAGGCAGCTCTTAGTTTCCGATTAGTAGAATCGGATATCAAACCATGAGTCCACCAATACTCAAATGTGCCTATATAATCATGATGATCATCTGTAACAGCATTCCCAACCTAGTATAATCCACAAGAAAAGAAATGCGTTCGCCCATAAGAGGGAGGTCTGCAACCATTTTATATGGAAAAAGAAACAAAAACCATGTATTCTTACCAAGAATCCCTTAAAGTTAATAACTGGATTATGAACCCCCCCTGTTTCTTTCATGTACAATTTGAGACAACTGAGGAACATAGTGACCTGAAATTGATTACCAAAAATGTGATAATTTGTGCTCCACCTTTTAATCAAGCGGAAATAAAAAATCAGAAACCAGAATTGAAGTGACCACCTGCATAACTTTCTCCAGCAATGTAGAAATCTCTATGCTTGTACTGTGGAAACCTTTTAAACCATTTGACCAGAAAAACGTACGCATCTTCAGCTGTTTACAACACCCAGATCAACAATAACATCTAAAAATGTCAAATCAGCTCTCTGAACGAGTTAAACGACATTCAAATAAGGACATTTATCCTTCACATAAAACCATACACAAACAGCAAGCAGAAAACAACTATATTCTTAATGCTAAATTATTCAATGAGCAAAGAAATGAATTACCAGTTCTCTTGTCACCAGAATCATATAAATCTGATGTCCTGTTTGTGTATGAAAAACCAACACCAGCTGGAGATTCGAGGAATATGATATTTGCCACTAACAAAACAATACAAAATTTCATTATGAAACCTCTTCGTATCAACAAAAAAATCAATCATCTGGAGTAAACTTATAGTCAAAGATGTTCGCTTACATTTGTTCCAAGCATAAGGATTCAAGTAAAGAGTTTTGCCATCACTGCGAATGCGAAAGGGTCCAATCTCTTCGGCAGCTCCATAAGCAATGGAGGAACAACAGGGTCCTCCATTGAGCCACAAGACGAGTGCTCTTGACTCGGGCGCACGACTCTTCGGTGACTCAGTGAACCAGTAAAACAATGCCCTTCCTGCGCGCTTGTTCACGGTCACATAGCCTGAGTACTGATTGAATTCAACATTCTCTGGCTGCACAGGCAACCAATTGATTTTGTCTCTCTCTTGATCTTTGAGATGAGAACAGAAACAAGTCCCGACTATTAGTGACACAAAGCAAACAAAAATGAATTGTAAATTACCCATGAATGAACCAGTCGAAAAGCAGCAAAAACAACCAAAACTCAGATACAGAATCTCTAAATAATTTCTGGGTTCTCAAAGAATTTTCCTATGGTGCTGAAACAGATGATTTAGTAGAAATTGAAATGAAACGAGAGCAAATGCAAGTCATCAAGCAGAGAAAACTAGAAAAAAACACATGTCCCAAATGGTTACTGGGTTCTAAGGAACTTATCAACAGACTCCTAAAATATGATCCTGAAACATCAAATGAACAAACAAGAAAGCCCAGAAATCCACATCCTAAAATGTCTCCGGTTTTGGTAAGAATTTAGTCAGACAGTACTATAAGAGGAGGATGAGAAGAAAGAGACTACACTGTTGAGTGTTGACATTTAATTTTCAGGGTCCTTAATGAATCTAATTGTCAAAATTGGCTGAAGACAACAAAGGAATGCTACATGGTTTACGTGTTCCTTTTGTTTGCTTGTTAAAACGATAATCAGGTATAAAATCTGTGATTTGAATTTTCTTCCTTTTTCTCTCAAGCAATTGACGAAACGGGCGAGGGAGCACATGGGGTTTGTATGAAGCTTCGATCTTTTCCATCCATAGCAAAAAAAGTTGCAATCTTTTGAGACGGTTTCGTTTAGCTGTATCAGATGCAGAGATATAAGAATTCAACGGTTATTAAATTGAAGAAAAGGGGGAAATGGGGTTGGTGAGGGCAGCAGACTGGCATGTGGAAAAGCAAGATTATTAAAGAATCTAATGAGTAAAAAGCATTATAATCAGCTTTAGAATATTCTAAAGCATGCATGCATTTGAGTGTGATGGAACAGACGAAGCATGTGGAAGGCAGGAAGCTTTTTGCAGCGCCGCAAAGTGCAACTGTTGGTGGTGTGACCCATAGAATTTACCATGTGAACACAGGAACCATACCGACATCTTTGTGGAATGGAGTTTTTAGTTCTGGGTTTTCTCTTTTGAATAATTTTTTTCCAATTCCTTTTAAAAGCCAAAAAAAAAAAAAAAAAAAGAAGAAGAAGAAGAAGAAGAAAAAGAAAAGAAAAGAAAGAAAAGCTTTTCAAGCTGTTTAAATAAGTTGTTTTGACGTAGTTAATAACCAGCTGCGTTTATAGTATAAAATATATAATTTATTTAATTGAAATTAAAATTGATATCTGTTTTTTTAACCTTATAACAAACACCTACTTCATCTTTATAACTTGGCATTTTTTACTCACTTAAACTTGTCTCCTCCTTTTGTTCCCAAGTCAAGCTTATTTTTGCTGCTTCAACGTAAAAGCTAAATCTTTAACTCTTCTTTTTGTAATGAATATTGCAATTACTTGAACCTGTTGTTTTGTATTATCTGCATCACCACATTGGGAAAAGAAAGGCAATGAAGCAACCATTACGGTATAAAAATGATTTAATCATTATTTACATTTAGCATGATAATGATGCATGTGTGGATGGTTTTATTGAGTATTATTTTCTTCGTATTGTGATTTCTTTCCAGATAGGATGGAAGCGGGCATGTTGTTGTATATTCAACCTTTGGATGTAAAAGACATGAGAAAATCATCAGCATTTATAAAAGGAAAAGTGGATGGCTTTTCAATGAATCTGAAGAGCGTGAATGATATTCTATTTATTCGTTTAAGTCATGAATTAGTTTAGGGAAAGGGGGAAAGACAGGGTGTTAATGTCAGGAATACATTCAATAATAATTACAATTAAATTTTATAAAATTAAAATTTACATTATATTTTATATATTTAATGGTTGTGATTGAATATTTTGATATAAAAATATCAGAATATCTTAATTTACATTGCATAATAAAAAGCAATCTTTTCTCCTTCCATAATTTACTTCACTTGTATATCTTTTATTTTTAACAAAAAATTTATCATAGAATTAATTAAATTATTAGCCCTTTTTCACATTAGTTGATCCAAATACTTAAACAAAAGGAAGCAGCGAAGCCCCAACCTCTTATGTGTTGGAACTTATTGTGTGTCACTTACGCCGGCTATGTCTATCTTTCTTTTTTTTCTTTTTCTAGTTTTTTAGATGTGTTTGGTTTGGCTAATATTATTAGGTTACATTTTTTTTAAAAAAATTTGGTATTTGGTGTGCATGCTCAAATTAAGTTTTAAGATATACTGAGATTATTTATTTCTTTTTGAACTAGGGATACCTGGAGTGAGAAAATGAGTGCCTGAGTTTGAGTCCAAAATTTTGATATCCTAAACACCATCTCTCTTAGGAAATGGCCACTAGACCGAACAATGATAAATAGATTATTAATTTCTTCCTTGAATGTTTTCAAAAGTATACCTTTTGCATTACTCTATTGTCCTTTTTAAAAATACATTTCTTATATTGGCTTCACACATTTAAAGAAATTAAAATTTTTAAATAATATTAATAGCTAGTCTTAAACATTGAATTTTATTAATAAAACAACAGCTAGTTGCCAGTTAATCTTACCCTTCGAATTAAATAGTCAGTTGACTCTCTCAAATTAAAATGGCACATAAAAAATGGAAAAATAATGGTAAGCTTGATATGGGCCTGGAGCCCGGGAAGGATCTTGCCATACCCAAAACTCCTATATTGGACGAAGTCCATTTGATTTGATCCAATTGACACTTTCTTTTCAACCTCCTCTTTTTCTAGCTTCCATTTATACATGTTTTATTGGATCATTGTTCCCTAAGAAGAAAATCTGATTAAAAAGAAAAGAAAAGAAAAGAAAAACGTTTCTCATAAAAAGCGTTATATATGACGCCTATTCACCATCCAAACGAAATTAAATTAATGAATATTTATTGGGTACAATACTACAATCTCATTTTTGAATATCTTTTTTAATTTTCAGGGTAGAGGAATGGGTTTCTTCTCATCAACCATGTGAGCCTGTTTGGTACAGGACCTTATTATTGAAATGTCGATTGAATTGGATTGGGCATTTGTATCTAGGCCCCATTTGTCAGATAAATAAATTATTCGATAATAATCACTTTTATTTTTAGAGATATCAAAGTTTGAATATAATTGGATAAGAAAATTATGTTTTATTGGATAACTTATTATATAATATTATTACTTGACATTAGTTTATATGATTATTGTTTATTGGGAAATTTTATTTAACTAATTATTTATTTTATTTTTTAAATCTCTTATTTTATTATTTAAATTGTAATAAAATACAAAACAAAATAATTTTTTTTTTTTAACATGAGAGTAAGAATTGACCCATAGCTACTGCTAATATGAAATTATCCTTTATAATATATATAACTGGCCACTTAAATCACATTTAAGGATGACAATTTTCTTCGAAACTCATAAAATTCTGTAAAGATCCTTATTGTGGGAATGGATATTCCAATAATATTTTTTTTCGCAAAGCAAGGATGGAGAAATTTTTTTCTTGTAAAATTTCATAGAGAATTTCCTTTACGCCTGGAAATCCATATATAATAAATATATACAAACTTATT